CGAAGCGGAGGAGAACGCAGCGGCCGGAGGTCGAGGACGTGACTGGTGACGAAGAAATCTCCGACACTGAAATTGACTCTTACCTCCGCACTCCACAGGAAGTCAAAGACTTTGCTAGAACACAGAAGATGCTGTCTGACTCTGGAAGTAAAACCTCGTAGGAATGAATATGAATATACTACAGTACTACTACTACTGTACTGCAGTACTACTACTGCTACTGCACGGCTGATCTTCATTCTGTTATGATTTTTGTTAAAAGTACGTTATTTGTTTCTTTTTGTAAAACTGTGTTCTGAATGTGTTTGTTTCCTTTTAATAAAGTGAATCTGTTTGGTTTGTTGACAAAACCCAAAATATTTGGGGGGGGGTCGAGGAGGGAGGGTCCTGTTATGGTTCAATCTTAGATCCGTTGATCGTGTTTTACAGTTTGTAGAGTTGGAGTTGTGCAATCTAAAAAAAAAGTTAATGTGAAGTGAGTGATTGATCGTCTGCTGCCATGATGTTTGGACAGACTTTGACTTTTTTTTTTTTAAGTAAGGATGGTTTATTGATGGTTTAAACTGGTTTTGGGTTTTTATTACTTGGGTTTGTGCTGGGTTGGAATCCCCAATAAAACAGAAGGAAAATCAGTTCCATTTCTGGAGCTAATCAACCACCGCTAACCTAACTCGATAATGAGTCATGGTGGATTTGAAGTTTTCTTCTTTGTCACCACTTTTTCGTCCTGCACTCGTTAGTGGACCTGTCCATAACGGACACAGATATCTGTAGTCAAGTCAACAACTTCTGTGGCGTAGCCTTTACCACGTGTAGGTCAAAGGTGTTCATGAGTTTTTCCCACTGTGTCTTAAAGGTCTACGTTGTTGTTTTTTTCACCTTGTACCATAAATATTTCAAAGTAGCTAAAATGACCGAATGAAATATCCACTAGTACCGAAGCAAAGATCACACCAGAAATGTTTTTAAAAAAAAACATCAACTGATTTTATTTGTAATTTTTTCTCATCACTACAGTTCACAAGAAACACTTCACCAAGACGTGACATTTTATAACTCCCCCAAAACTATTAAAAACAAATCAACACAGAGAACTGGTAACTCAACTGCTGCACGACGGTTTCACTTTAGAGCCGTTGGTGTTGAAGGCAGTAACACACCGTCAGAACCGTCAGAACTAATGGGATTAATTGCTCAGTGCACATTCATCAAGATCAGGTCTTAAAATAATTAGTTGAGCCAAAGGGCGTGAGTTTAATTTATTCCACCGGGGGCTCCTGGAAGGAGCAGCATCCTGATCAAGTCTGACATCAGCGGTCTGTCGTCATTGGCTGGTCCCAAATTAAATCTTCACAGATGGTTTCATTCGCTCTTCTTCGCCGTCGTTTACTTCAAACTGCTGCGAGAACTGGTCTCGTTCCATTCAAAGCCACAGAAAAACGTTTTATTCGCCGACTGAAAAGCCATTAAAGACGTCAATCACCGACCCGCGACGCTGTTCTCTCACAGTCTGAAGAATCCAAAGCGTAAAAAAACAAGTTAGCTGTGCGCTAATGATCGCTGCGAAGTTTGTTTCAGACGTGCGCGGAACTCTAGAGGATCTCCAGAGATCGTTTTTTTTGTGTGTGTACAGCAGTCTCTCCAAACAGTTCTCGTATATTTATATATTTATAAATATATTTGAGATTTTGTTGATTAGAATTTCGCATGTGAACATTTGACAAACTGTATTTACAGCTAGCGTGAATTGTTGTCTCAACGTCACTTCGCCGACTGTTTGCGTCACTGTCAAGAGTGAGTGGGAAAATTT